ATAAAATAAAATAAAATAAAATAAAATAAAACAAAACAAAATAAATACCTGACTGCAGTCTACAATGATCTACACATCATGCTCAAGTGACACTAACATGGTTTGATCGTTGTTGTAGACACATTTGGCGTGAATGTGGCAGTGCTCGAGGACGGCGTCTGAATTGCAGGGGGTGGCTGTCTGGTCACAAAGCTTCCCTGAAAACCCTTCCCGACAGGATCCTCTTCTACACACCCCCATACCGCCAGGCCTGTTCTCACATACACCATGGACACAGCGGCAATCTACAGGAGCAAACAGAGCGCGAGCAGAAGAGAAGGTCACCGTGACTACTACTGTACCAGTGGGGTCACGGTTTGTACAAAGAGTCCTTTGAAAATATATAAGGTATTTAACTTCACCTTCGTCACAGTTCTCTCCATGTTTGTTGGGGTCTGAGCAGAGGTGGCAGCCTACACCTGTAAACGCTGGTTCACACTTACAGGAGCCATTCCCATTGATGCCATCAAAACACTACGGACAGACAGATGACAACTAAACACCAGAACTTCCAGTCACGACCGTAGTGAGTAGCATACTTACAGTCCCTTTATCATAACATGGGTGCTGGAAACCCCCAATGCACGGTTTACAGTCCGGCCCATAGAAACCACTACAACACTGCGGCGTCTGAAAACAAGATGGCGCACATCTCACAAACGTCCATATTCATACAGATTATTCATTATAAATTAAGTGCATCAGTGCCCGCCCACTTTTTCAGTGGCGGTGGTTCAGAAGCATTTTTGCTATTCATTTTTCCCCAACAGAATTTAAAAAAGGGCTTCATTCAAAAGTTTATAAGCCATGAACCAAGCCAACCAGCTACAAGAAGAATCACTTTACAAACTTTGGGGGCAAAAAAACTGGGCAAAAAGACAAATGTACAAGACAAATGTATTTAATGGCTTTAGTAAAGGAAAGAACTACAATCCCATGAACCACTGCAAATGGCATTATTGAATTAAACAATGGTGAAACCATATTAATTATATCTGTAGAAACAATATATTTTGAGTTTATTGCAAAATATATGTGTTTATTTACAAGCTTTTGTGGTGTAATTTGCTCACTGC